TTTTATGTGATTATTTGGTTTAATTATTGTTTACCTATGTGTCATGTGTTTTAAATATAATTAAGTTATCTTTTATTATTTAATTGGCATTTTATTGTTTAAGTGTTTTTATTTATTTAATTGGGTTATTTAATTGGAATTAATTAGTTAAGTGGATTTAATTATTTAATTTTTTTTTTTTCATTTAATTCTGTTTTAAGTTACAGTTAACTTTGGGGTTGGAATTTCACGTATAGGTAAGCCGTAACAGAGATAGTTTCATGGGCCGACTAGGTTTAGAATTAGGGCTCTGTCTCTGATTAAACATGGATTAGGGTTTATGTTTTTACGCCTATATATATATACGGTTATAATCTGTATCAAGGGTTGGAAAAACCCTATTCACATACCAAAGATACAGAGAGAGAAACAGAGAGCAGTTGTGGGGAAACAGAGTGAGGCTTAAAAGGAATTGTACAGAGAGGACCAAGGAGGTTGAGTAAGGATTAGAGACAGAGTTATAGGAAGCTTGGCGGCGTTCAGAATTGCCAGAAAACTTAGAGACGACACAGGGATTTCAAAATTGAAATCACAGGCAAGTTCTTCTCTTTCTCCTTCTCTTTGGCTCGTGTTCTGTGTACCTAGATAGTCTCTAGGGATTAACTAATTAGTAAATGAAACTTATGTGTTTAATGTATGCTTGTTGATGATTCGTTTGCATTGAATTCAAATCTGTTTACAGTTCGTGTATTGTTGCTCCCAGTTCTGTTCATTAAAGCATATTATAATCTGTTGAGATCTTAGTTACGATTCTTACTTCTATCTTCCGTAAACAAACCCTAGGGATGTTAATGGGATGTTATAAGACTCCTAAGATCAGTTTGTGAAGAGAAACAGAGAGGTTGGAATAGAATTATAATTTCAGTTTTGTTCCTAACGCGGGTTAGTTCGGTAGCAAATTTAATCTCTGTAATTGATTTTAATTGTTATTATCAAGCCATTGGGATGCTACTGGGTATCAATATGAGACCTAAGTTTGGTTTTAAAAACTAACAGAGTGTTAGGAATAAGCCGGAGAAGGAGCACAAGAGCTGGAGCAACGCACCGGGGACGAAGGCTCTCAAAGGAGGTGAGAGCCGGCTCCATAGAAGTGGGAGCCGGCTCCCACAACAAAGTAGAGCCGGCTCTAGGGAGTCCTAGAGCCGGCTCTAGGCTGGAAATAGAGCCTGCTCCAAATTTTGGAGCAGGCTCCCTTTCTATTTTTGATTTATTTTAAGTTTTTTTTTTAATTTTCTACGTATTATGTGCACTGTTGGAGCATGGAGACTATTGAAATGAATTTGGAACTTTACAGAGGGATTAAGGAATAAAGTTTGAGTGTTATTAAGACTCTAAATTAATTAAAGTTTACTTCTAAATTGTCGGGACAAACAGGGTAAAATTAAGGCACTTCCTATGTTGTTAACAAATGGAAGTTGAATTAATTGTTGAATTAAATTTCAGCAATTTGATGGAATATAATGTGTTTATAGAACTTGTTTTAGAATGCATTCAAGTGCATGATAAGGTCATTTAATTATTAATTTTGATCTATGCATGCTTAGGAGGCTAGTTGCTGAGTTATTAAATCGTTTCCTGCAACTATATGGTTAATGCTTGGATTTAAATTGCCGAATTGTTAAACAATCTTCTGAAATTATTTCAGCAATTTATTAGATAATAATAGGATTATTTAACCTATTCACATGCATGATGGAGTCCCTGACATATTAAATTTGAACTATGCATGTGTTGGATGTTAATTGTTAGAATAGTTTATTCTTCGATGCAATTACATGGATTACTACTGGGTTTTATTTGCTAGATTGTTAAGATTCCTTCTGCAATTATTGGTTGGTGGTTTTTGGTCTGTAAATTATTGAACTGTTATATATGTTGTAATTTACATGAATATGGAGGATTGTATGTACTAGTATGGGACGGTGACATACTAGGGACGGTTTAGCTCAAAACGCATAAACCTAACCTAATGGATTAATGGAATGGATTGAAAGATATCGAATCCTAATTGTGACTAAGTCAGACCAGCTGTAACCAAGTTGGATGACTTTCTGGATTAACGGATGGTAGTTAAGTCATATCCACTGAATAAGTTGAGTGACTAACTAGTTGGTTTATTGTAGGTCAGTTTAATAAATAGTTGAACTGCTTACCCTGGATTTGGACGGACTTTATATATATGTTTATGGTACCACGAGTTGAGCTTGAGTCTCAGACTCGTTGGTTAGGGTGCGTATATGCAGTGGATGCGTAGCTGGTTATAATAGGTTGAGGTGTACCCTGTTAGGTCTAGGTACTCATGCCCACCTTTGGGTGCGTATTCGCATGTTGCCTTCTATTCAGGTGGAGACCCCTATTATAGACTAGTGAATGTCCCTTAGTGTGGATATATTTATACGTATGGACTAGATAGATATTGTGAGGTGTCTACGGTGTATCTGCGTATCGAGTCACTGTATGGATTGCAGTTAGATTAGAACTTGCTCGTGGGTCTGACCCACTCCTTTATTATTCTTTTCAGGTACAGGACGGTTCCAGCCTTAGAGCTTGATCGTGCTTGTCGAGGACAGTCTCACTTTCATCGGATTACGTAGGACTTTCCCCAATGATTCTAGTATTATCTATTTTCAGTTTTCAGTTTCAGTTGAACTTTTGGTTAGGGGTCCATCAGTGGATTCCCAAGTTGTAACCTTAAAGTTTTGGAGGATTGGAGTTTAAATTTTCAGTTATACATGGAGGATTTTATAATTAATGTTTTTTTCAGTTTTTATTCTATCTTTATTGTTCTTTTTGTCATCTGTGTTCGTTTTAAAATACTTTAATTGTTTGATATTCCCTAGGGTTTGGGCCTGGGCTTGATCAACCCGTGTCTCGAATCCGAGGGGTATCACAAGCTCCACCATCCTTGTCACCGCTCCTCGTTACCGAATAGATAACTATTACAGCTGCTGCTCTTTAATTTGTTCACACCTAGTTCAAAGTCGTCCTCACCATCAGCGTGGTTCTTTGCCACCGGTAACAACAGACCTACTTCTCTGCTCTTTCACTTCATTAGAGATCGAGAAGACCCATGGTCACCGTTCTGAAACTCATCGGAGTAGTTGGGTCTTCATGTTGTGTGTTGATTCCAGTCGCCTTCTTTGATAGGAGCAAGCGAAAAAAATGATATATCCGATTGAGTCACACAACACCACCAATAAAACCTTACTGTATCCGCCCTTTTGGTTTAGTTTTATGATATTAATTAAGTCTGTTTATCGAGTTCATCACCGCCGGCATTTCCAATCTTCTATGTCTGTCCTTTTTGGGTTTAATAAGCCGTTGTGGGTTTGATTTGGGGTTACGATTTGAGGGTTGTGGTGGTGGCTATCAGCGGTGTCGATTCCAGCTGTGGTGGTGATAACATGGGTGTATTGGTGGTTGTGGGATGAGTATGGCGGTGGCTGTCACCGGTTATGGTGATGGCAGCGCCGGTGGTGCAAATAGTGGTGGTGGTAGGTGGGTGTAGGGGTATTATAGTCATTTAAGCATGAGATTAAAAAATTAAGGGTAAAGTTGTCTTTTCCCATATATTTAACGGAGCCACTAATAGAAAAACATAAATGAACCTAACTGATAATTATTTTCGAAAGAAGTTTGAGGGTGAAAAATGGCAAAACTTGAAGGGTCCGATTGAAATTAACCCTTGTGTCTAAAATGAATTGGAACTAAATAGATTGCAACAGTTCCAAAACTATGGAACCAAACTGAATCAAAAGATTATGTGATGTAGGATAGATTTTAGTATTTTTTGTAATTAATTTTCTTATTTATTTTTATTTTTTAATTTGCAGAGGGATTTTAATTTTAAGTAATTTCTTTATATTTTTAGTTTTGTTTCCTTGTATTTGTTAATGTTGTTAGTTTCTTTTATAGTTGTAGGGTTTTATTTATTATAAAAACATGTACGGAAAAAAATAATAATAATAATAATCAATTTTATCAATAAAATTTCATAATTTTATATAAATTTTATTTTATAGATTCAAGGAACCCTATTGTAGATTCAAGATAACTCTCATTTTTTGTGAATGTATTAATCATTTTCGCTATGTCATAGATTCTCCTAAGATTCTCCTCCATACAATCAACTTCTAAGCATGAGAAAATGGAAAACAAGGAAATAGTTAAGATTGTGAGAGTACATGCAGAATCACATACCATGCATTTTTTACAGCCCTGGGCCCAACCTGTTTGTTATGTTCAAGAGCCTTGGAGCCTATAAACGGAGTCCTAACCTTAGTTTTAGACATCTTTATCATAAAAGGACCACTGCTTTGCTAGTAAATTACATATCTGAACACGAATTTATTTATTGAATTTAGGTAAATTTAGTCTTCGAATTTGAAAAAGAAAGAAAAGAAACAATTGGTTATTCCATTTTTACTTGGATCAAACTTCCCAAATCTATTCAACCCTGATTTACTTGACCTGCACACAACTACAATGACATCATCTTAGTCCTTGCAATATTAGACTGCATTGTTGATATAGAAATGACTAGAATCCTATGTATATAACTCGTTTGGATGGCCAGGAGTCCGAACACGAATGACAACAAATTTTTCAGTAAAATTCAACAAATCCGTTTTGATCAAAAAACTCATTCCCAATTGAAAATGGACAACGAATCAACACTCACTCACTATTTGTGTGAGATATGTTGCTTTCGAACAATTTTCATTATTTAGAAGCATGACGAATAGTTTTACATTTTTCTTTTAGAGGTCAAAACAAATTCGGCTGTTCTGCTTTTTGGTAGTTATCAATTGTGCGTATGCGTGTGTAATTTTTAGAGAGTGACAAATTAGACTGTTTTTAGGACATCATTGCATATACAAAAATAGTGGTGGTACCATTCAGCATAGCACCATTATTTATTAATAATAGATCAAAATTTCTCCCACGAAACTCGTGAACTTTTCATAGCTTCCGCATCCTCAATTTTACATGCATATGAAAGACATATAATAGCAGTACTGCAGTCGTAACTTCAATAGATTGAGAGTTACATTAGGCATAAGATATACAGCTAGGAGTATATACAGAGAGAGAGAGACTCAATTAAAGGAGCTAGTAGTTTGATTGTTTGGAAGCTAGGAACCATGCAGTAAAGTTTTGGAGGGTAGTATCATCTGCTCTGTAGTTTTTTTGTGTAAATGCGAGCAAATCCGACCATGTGAAGTCCGGATACTTTCTTGGCCCTTCTCTGCTCAAAAGATCTTGCGGAGGTTTGACCAACTTGTCTTGGGTAGGGCACACAAAATAAGCCAAAGACGTTCTCTGCTTGTATTTGTTGACCACTGCCCTATGCAGACAACTCTTATATCTTCCATTTGATAATGCCTGTTCATCCAAATTAATAATAAAGCCCATCATCATATTTAATTTCTCTTATAAATCAACATTTCAAGTACCCATTTTTTGGTGTGTGTGTGTGTGTATATATATATACATATATTGAAATAAGTATTGGAGGAAAGTAAGTATTAGAAAAATGATAATAGTTGTGTCCCCTCTACCCCTGTGAAAGGTGAGGCTGGAGTTCCTCTAGGCAATTGGGCGTGTTTTCTTACTGAGAAATATATATATATAATTATTTTAAAACCAATTCCCCAAACGGTTTTGTATAATTGAAGGGTGTTTATGCTTCATGCAGTGGATGACTGCATCAAAGAGATAAAATCCCTCGTAACAGGTTCAAATAATAATAAATTAATTAATTAATAGTGAATTAATGTTCCCATAATTCATGTATAGAACTATGACTGTGGCGGTAAGGAAATTGACAATAAGAAAACAAAAAAAAAAGGTGTTGTCCTGCACCATTCTGATCATCTCGTTATCTGGCGTAGTACCAACACCATAACAGAGAAAACACAAATTAATCAATAGATAATTTGATTTTTCTTGGAGACTTACTGTGAAGGTGTCACCAATGTTGATGACCAGGGCGTTATGTCGAGGTCGAACAGACTGCCATTTCTTGTTGACAAACACTTCCAGGCCTCCAACTTGATCTTGATGAAGTATGGTCAAGGAGGTGGGATCACAATGCGGTCCGGTGCCTAGGGCAAGCCCTGGCTCTTGACAAGGAGGATAATAGTTGCATCTCATTATAGAGCTACCATCTTGGAAGAACTTTTTGTAGTACAATCTATCAACCCCCAAGCTGATCCCCAAGATTTCCATGATTGCAAGAGACAATTCCTTCATGGACTCGCAATATTTCTGAAAAAGAAATCTGCAAATAAAAAAAATAAAAATAAAAATAAAAATAAAAAATCAAATACATGTAGTTAATGCTGTACTAATTTCAAACCAAATTCACATTGACAGATGTTGTGATCGATATCTTCCCTTCAAATAGGAGGTTGAGTCTCCGAGCCCTATTTGAGGCAATATTATGTGTGTGCATGTTTACTTCAACTTTCAAAAAAGGAAAAGAAAAAGGCAAAACAGGTCTTACCCTGTTTGTTCAAATTCATTTCCCAAGGCAGATTGAAAGAAATTTGCTACAACAGGGTTTGAACTATTCTCATGGAAGCCGAAAGAAAATGTTTCCTTCCATGGCAATTTTGATGAAAAACGATCAGCATGTGCACCAGAATAGCCCCACATGCTACCAGGCTTCTTCTGAGCCCTTAGTTTCTTGCCAATGGGTAGCTTAAAGAAAGCATTTATATGTTCATGTGCTAAGCTAAGTAGTTCGGGATCAACACCGTGATTGGTGACTTGGAAGAAGCCATGGCTCAAGCAAGCTGCCCTAATGAGCTCTGCAGCACGTTGTGTTCCCGCCTCATCACCTTTGAAGAACCCTTCAAGATCAACTAGAGGCGCGTTAAGCTCTTCTTGAGCATGAACTAAATCCCCTTTGGGCCACATGAATGCTTTTGGTATGTTGGTTTGTTTTAGCAAAATGGACAAGTCAGAGAAAGAACTCTGGTAGTCTCTATGATCATTGTGCTCCATTAATGGTGAGCGTAGAAGCATAGAGGCACTTGAATCCATTGATAGATGTGATACAATAGGGCACAGGCCAATATATGTTATTTATACAAAAATCAATACAGAAAGAGACAGGAGAAGAATGGACAAAACACAATGAAATTAGTGGCTTCTACTTTGTAGCGTGTTGTAGGAGGTTCGAGACACAGTAAATATCCCAATAGAAAGATTAAACAGAAGTTGGGAATATTAATTGTAAAAAAAGCCAACAATTGGGTGAGGTGAAAGTCTAATCCTTATTCACTTCTTTAAAATAATGGCCACTAGACTCGCTTTGCAACAATGTCCACTCTCATTGTGGAGGTGTGGAGAGAGGATCCGGTCGCGTGCACAACATAGGAGAAGAATGAAAATCACTGACATGGACATCGGATGATCCTCACAAACCGCTATAACTTCATGTGAGATGATCTTCATCTTTTATTGTGCACGCACCCGTGATCACTGACGTGGACATGGGGCCATCCTCCCAAACGGCTATAACTCCACCTCATGTGAGATGATCTTCATCCTCTATTGTGCACGCACCCGTGATCTATCAAGAAACATCTAAATTGGTCATGTGTGTGTCAGGATATATATATATATATATATTTGTCCTCTTTTGATATGACTTTACTTGGCTGTTCTTTGGACCCATCTATACAATATTCACTACTAAATCATCCAACTTTAGCGTTAATAAATTTTGATAAATTATTTTACACGATTAAAGTGTTGTGTTTTGATGATCATTCTGTAATTTGTTGCCAAATTACAAATTTTACGGCTTCCAGCCTATCAAAAAAGAAAGAAAGAATTTTTTTACCTTTATGAACTTTATTGTTATACGTGTTGCCGTGTAACAGCAAAGGGATTTCTCCTTCTTTTACCTAATTAACAAACTCACACACAGGATCGACCGAGCCATGGTTCTTTTGAAACTTTAATCATCGACTACTTACTTTGAACATTGAGAAAATATCACAAGACTACAATCCTTCCAAAAACTTTTGCAAGATTTCAACACCGCAAGCATATTGTTTACTTAAATTAATTATTGGCTTGTCCTGATACATTGCACTTGACATGCCTATCAAAAAAGAAAAAGAGAATTTTTTTACCTTATGAACTGTATTGTTATACTTGTTGCCGTGTAACAGCAAGGGGATTTCTCCTTTATTTACCTAATTAACAAACTCATGTGAGATGATCCTCACAAACCGCTATAACTTCATGTGAGATGATCTTCATCTTTTATTGTGCACGCACCCGTGATCACTGACGTGGACATGGGGCCATCCTCCCAAACGGCTATAACTCCACCTCATGTGAGATGATCTTCATCCTCTATTGTGCACGCACCCGTGATCTATCAAGAAACATCTAAATTGGTCATGTGTGTGTCAGGATATATATATATATATTTGTCCTCTTTTGATATGACTTTACTTGGCTGTTCTTTGGACCCATCTATACAATATTCACTACTAAATCATCCAACTTTAGCGTTAATAAATTTTGATAAATTATTTTACACGATTAAAGTGTTGTGTTTTGATGATCATTCTGTAATTTGTTGCCAAATTACAAATTTTACGGCTTCCAGCCTATCAAAAAAGAAAGAAAGAATTTTTTTACCTTTATGAACTTTATTGTTATACGTGTTGCCGTGTAACAGCAAAGGGATTTCTCCTTCTTTTACCTAATTAACAAACTCACACACAGGATCGACCGAGCCACGGTTCTTTTGAAACTTTAATCATCGACTACTTACTTTGAACATTGAGAAAATATCACAAGACTACAATCCTTCCAAAAACTTTTGCAAGATTTCAACACCGCAAGCATATTGTTTACTTAAATTAATTATTGGCTTGTCCTGATACATTGCACTTGACATGCCTATCAAAAAAGAAAAAGAGAATTTTTTTACCTTATGAACTGTATTGTTATACTTGTTGCCGTGTAACAGCAAGGGGATTTCTCCTTTATTTACCTAATTAACAAACTCACACACAGGATCCACTGAGGCACGATTCTTGTAAAATTTTAACCATTGATTGCTTACTTTGAACATTGAGAAAATATCGCAAGACTATAGTCCTTCCAAAAACTTTTGCAAGATTTCAACACCGCAAGCATATTGTTTACTTAAATTAATTATTGGCTTGTCCTGATACATTGCACTTGACATTGATCTTATAAATAATAATAAAAAAGGAGTAATAGTACCCTCAATTATGGAATCGGCATCACCACATCACACTATTGTCAATTCCATAGTTAAGGACACGAACTGTTGCGAGAGTGACTTCACCATGACTCTTTTCATAGGAAAAAGAAAAATATAAAATGCTAAAATCCTGTTATTTTACTTTTGACAAGTTAGAGCACCATCTTAGTGGTAAGGGGACAGAAATTTACCAAGGCGTCTGTCACAACAGAATTGTACCAAAGATTACTACATTTTTATGGACCCTATCATCATCATTCGCGTGATTATCATATACACTAGATTGAATTAAAATAATTTTATGGACTCATATGGAATAAACATAAACTCAAATGATATGAGTTTTTCTTTCGAAGAAAAGGTTAAGTGTTCAAGCCATATTAAAGATAGACACGAACTTAGTGAAGACCCAATGGGGGCAATTACACCCCCACTCAAATTTTATTCTTTTATTTTTTAGCCACTACCTACATACCAATTTTGTTTTTCTGAATTATATCTCTATAAATTTTTAAAATTGACCCCCTAAAATTACAAAAAATAATCACTATTGCCCCTACTCCATATAATTTGAATCTTTTTATCTTCTTATTATTAAAAGTCCGTCCCCTCTCACATAATTTTCTGGATCCGTCCCTGGTTGGAGATTATATCGTGAGTTTGTTCCTACGAAAACTTGGACTCTCAATATCTTGAAAGACGAAAAAGTATCTATGGGTTCGTGAGTATGTACTTTTCTTTGAACTTTCAAGAAAAAAAAATAAATAAAAAAAAATAAAAAAATAAAATTATAAAATAAACTGAAATAAGAATTATAATGCAGTCATTACTATCCAATAGAGATTAGACAGACTGAATTATGAAATTCATGTCGATTAGTTGATACTCACCCAATTCGTGTCAAAATTATATGGTTTCAACACATTCAATATTTGGAATCCAGTGTTACATGTGGGGATAAATGAAGTTTGTCACAACATCAGTACCCTCTGTGTCTCCCCAAATTCCACAAAGAACAATAGATATGGACCAGGAAGGGCCCATGTTGCCTGAAATACCCTCAAAATGAGAATACAAGAAAACCATCGTCAAATGAAGTGTTCTTGGATTATACGAATACTACATTGAAGCTTTCATAATCTGAACAAAAGAACAGACCTGTCCATGTGAACGTATGGTTTTTATCCATTTTTTTGGAACACGTACCCTTCTTCTCAGTATCTCTAAAGCTTGTCTCCTTTATCTAAATGGGAATTACCATGTATTCAATCAATCCTCAACATGATACGTGTCATGCGTTGAGTAGGCAAGAGATTATATGGATGGGGGCCTCGCACGCATCATAATTGCCTCTAATGTCACGTGATCAAAAAGTTTAGGGCCTGCCTGATTTGAGTGTTATTCAAATAGTTTCTTGATTTTCAAAATTAGGGCAAATCTATTTTTCGAACTTCTATTATTGAGGCATCGGGAGAGAGTAAGATGCATTCAACTTTACCTCAGCATATGGGAAAGCATGTTTTATTATTTCAAATTGGTAACCTCCATTGGTCAAGACTCTATTTTTTGTTTTCTGATCATGAAAAAAAAAAAAAAAATTAAAAAATATTGATTGTTTAAAAGTTTTTGAAAACTCAATTAAAAAATTAATTATTTTCAGATAATTAAATTGTCTTCTATGATTGTTTGAATATTTTTTTGTTTTCTGAATTATGTTGCGAAAATTGAAGCAAGCATGCTCTTAAATTGCCGATTGTTTTTTATTATGTGTAATATAGAGAGAGAGAGAGAGAGAGAAAAAAAAAAAAACTCGCTTCATTTAAAGGGTTGAACCATTTTGTGTGAGTTAAAGCTGATCTCAATAAAATGCTGTCACCACCAAAGATAAAAAAATGTGACAAGTCAATTGGTCATAAGGTGACTCGCAGTAATAACCCTACCCAATCCAACCTAAGTTAACTAACCTCTATACCTTTTATAATACAGAGTAATAATACATAAGAAAAAGGAAGCCGAAAAGAAAAGGAAAGGAAAGTGGCAATTTTTTTTCATATTTTACTATTGGGCTAGAATTAAATCCCTTTAAAAAAAAAATTTGAAAATGAAGGGCAATATTATGTAAAATTAAAATTTTCTTCCATTTTCACTCACATTTTCTCTTTGCAACCACAAAAGTCACATATTTTTTTTCTTCCAAACCATAAGTTTATTTGTAAAGAAAGTCATAACCCAATACTAATGCCAACTACATGTAATAATGAGAGTAAAAGATTGAAAAAAAAAAAAAAAAAAAAAAAAAAGAAAGAAAGAAAGAAAGAAGAAAAGAAAAAAAAAAAGAAAAGAAAAAAGAAAGAAAGATAGATAGATAGATCTACAGAAAAGAGAGAGTTTAGAGCAGCAAAAATGGCAGAGTTTGATTCTTTCGCTTGCTTAGATGGAATTAAATTGGTTATACTCGTCCTTAATTTCTACACATGAATTTCCTTGAAATTCCAAGATTTTCCTCCTATTACAATCTCTTACTTGAGCAATTAGCTACAAGCGTGTAACTAATATTTCAATTGACTTCTCTTTTCCACTCTCTCATCCATCTCTTGGTTTATCATCCGATTGGGATCATATTCTGCACAATTTTGTCTTAATTTTTTTTTTTTTCCTCTAGGCCATTTTCATCCTTCTAATTCAAGAGTGCATTACTTGATTTATTGATATAAGTTCCTATTGTTAAGTAACACATTAATGTCTATATATCTAATTAAGTATAAGAACAATTACACTTGAATTACACTAATAATTCCAGATCTGTACTCAATCCACATTTAATTCTAATGCAATCAACTAACTCCAATTTAGGTACAAACAACAAGAAAACAAGAAATATATATATATATACTAGAGAGAGAATGCAAAAAAATAAAAAAGCAGGGAAAAAGAAAAGAGAAGAAATAACAATATACTGATCAACACACTAGTTCCATATGTACAAACAACATGTTCTTATAAAATGAATACTTAAAAGTCACAATTCTCAAAAAATAATAATAATAATAATAAGGTGCGACAATATTGAATGTTTGATCTAGGTGATCATTTTCAAATCTGTTCATGATCATATGCCAAAAATATATATAAAACAAAACACAACCTGAATTTATGAACAAAACAATCAGTATGTATTTGAACATGCATGCAAACTCAGACTTACAGAAAGATGAAACAATCCAATGCGATTAGAGGATTATTAATGTCCTCCGTTGGAATTGCTTGATCCACATCTGCATTAGACACCACTTCCTCAACTGCAATCTCATCAACCTTGGAACCAATCTGAATAGTACATTTCTCTCTATTCCTCGAACAACTGCAATGTCTAGTACTTATAGTATTGTTGCTTGGACTAACTGGTCTAACAGTTTCCTTCCTCACACATGATGATGCTTCAGAACTCACCTTACTCACTTTAGAACCAATCGAACGCGTGCCAAGACTTTCTTTAGGACTGTTTGATAAAACCCCTTTGCAATTCTCTCCCGTACTGAACCTCCTACTAGGAGATGGAGACCTCAAAGTCCTACTAGAAACCGAATATGGGGAATTGGGCTTCTCAGGCTCCTTACGAAAGCTCTTCTGTCGCGTAAGAGTTGGTGAGCTAGCGCGAGCTCTCTTCTGTGGTGTTGCCCTAACCGGCCTTTGTGGAATGGACTGCTTCACTGGTGCCAATTTCGCGACATGAACTTTAGTAGGCGCTGATTTATCAATGAGCATTATGTGTGGATTGTCCTTGGCACAGGACCACAAGAACTCGTTTGAAAAAGACCGGTCCTTCAAGCTTAAAATGGATGATGAACATGACGATGAGGATGACGAAGAGGAGGTCAATGAGTAGGAGCTGCTAGTGGTGCAAGAAGTGGAAGAAGTGGATGAAGGAGGAGAAGATGGAGGCAGAGAGTACTTCTTAGTAATTGGTGGTGGCGGAAGAGGAGAAACTTGAGCTTGTGAAATTACCAGTTTGTCTTGAACATAGTCACAATCTTCTTCTTCAGAGTACTTCTTCTTGGATCTGCATTTGCTAATACAAGAACCCATTGATTTGGGGTGGTTTGAGTTTGAGAGACAAATTGACAATTTGGGACTATAGAAACACTTTACATAGTCTTAATTTGTGTGTGTGTGTTTATATGTCTATATTTTTATATATATAATTGGAAAGCAAAGGGAAAGTTAGGGTGACTTCTGCTTTTTTTCTTAGTGTGTTTCAGATATTTGAATTTGGTTGCCGGGTTTGAATCCGTTGTACAACGGTTACATCTAAAAGACTGCTGGTGGGTTGCTTTTGCTTTATTTATGATCATGCCTTCTCCAACTTTAGAGAGAGAGGAATTTGAGTGTGTAAATCAAGGTGGGGTCTTTGTGATCATGTAGGTTGCAACCAGCACAAGCACACTAGCTCACAGTGTTGGAGCCACATTTTGAAACAAAAATGGTTAATGGTTTAGATCAAGTCACTAGACTCACCTCATATGTTCATCCTTTCATGCCACAATTTTGACACTTTCGGAATGATTTGAGTCAACATATACATGGTTTCAAAAACTAAAGATGAAAGCAAATTGGAATAAAAATATCTTCATTTTTATTTGGCAACATTGATTCTTTTGTTGATATTGTACTTCATAAGATACTTTTTCTGAAGTTCAGGAGGGAATTTTTTTAAATGATTCCGTGTGTTTTTTTTTTTTTATGCTTTATATTTTCTTAGAATTATCATTCAATTAATTTAGAAATTAAACAAAATTTCAGATCTGGGAAATGGTCATATATCTGTAATTCTATAGTGAATAGTACTTTAAAATTAGTTGATGATAATATTTTTATAGGAACCAAGTCTGTCAACATTCTTTGGAAGTTGATCCAGTGCCTGCATGTGTCCCAAGTCATGGCAGGGGCATCTTAAAAAATGAGTGCCACTATATCAATTTATTTTACTTGTTTATTTATTTTTCTGAACATCACAACTCTTACCATACATATATAAGAGAGTGTCACTTCAAAGTCTTGAGTATACTCATGTTAATAATCATTTATTTTCAAATTTTAAGTTATTGGATGGAAGAATATACCATGGTTGTCTTTCAACAATTTCAAACAATTCATATAAATATATAAGGTTAAGTACAAAAAACACTCCTAAAAAATACTTACAATGCATGTAACACCCCTTTCGTGTAAAAAAACACCCCTTAAGTTTCAATTTGGTGCAATCAAGTCATTCTGGGAAATTTAAAACCAAACTTGACTAAAGTACTCTTAGTCAACAATTTTATAAAATATATGAAAAAAATACAAAATTTTGTAAAAAGACCAAAAAAAAATCTGCGAAACCCATTATTATTTGTCATCACATTGGTAGAGTAGAACATTGACTGACCAAGAAGCAGACCCTGTTTGGGTTTTGTGATCAATATCAGATAAAAAATGTGAATTTTTGGATGGAAAGGGCCATCTTGGTTCATATATCAACAACCACAAAATGAACAGAGCACTTGTAGATTGATATTAATTCAAACAATCCCATCAAAGAATAATCAAGAATATGAATAAAATAATTAAAAAGACCATTGCAATCTATTGGAATGGATGTGTCTATTGGTGAATAGACATCATGTGAACCATTGCAACCTATTGCAATGGTTGTGTCCAATAATGAAGAGATACACCCAATCCGAAAAGACATTTCTGTTTCTATAAATACCCCTCTTTGGATCATTTGCAAGTGGTAAAAGTGTTACTCAGAGTATACTTGAGGGTGTAAAAGTGTTACTCAGAGTATACTTGAGGGTGTTTTCTGCACTTAGCCCTATATATATATATATATGTATGTATGTATGTATGTATATAATAAAAGAGACAAGCAAAGAAAGGAAATAACCCATTATATTTATTTTCTTAATTGTATTAAAATTGTTGAGTTGTGGTGCCAACACTAGGCAAATTTTGTTGGCTCGTTTTGTTTTGGGTGGGTTTGACCCAATTCTCAGTTTTTATTGTAACCTGATATATATAAAAAAAAATACTATGATTTGTATTGTTTTAGATTGAACATTGAAAATTTCGAAATAAAGAGAAAAATATGATGTTAATGGAATTAAGAGATTTGTGTATCTTCTTTATTTAAAATTCTCTCTCTTACACGCAAGTTATATGCTAGAGTACGTTATACATCTGTGTTCCGAATGCGGTGTGATTTTCCTTTCTGGATTTATTTTTTAATTTTTGGTGGTGAGTTGTCACAACCAAATTATAAAACCTAAAAGTTGGATGAGCATCACCCTAATGGAAGTTTTACAAACTCAGGAAGTGGAATGGCAGTGTTGTTTCATAAGTTCATTTTGTTATACAGTAACATTTTCACTAATAATAATAGTGAATTTAAAAATAAATAAAATTATATATATATATACACACCATATAAAAAAGAAATCCTGGAGTTGCTTGGTTGGGTATTGCGTAATAGGGAAACAAATTAGAGCAGCCTGTGGCTCCTGGGCTGCTTCAGGCCCATTGCAAAACACTTCGATTCTTTCCTTCACAGCCTAAACGCTGAAGATCGTTTGTAAGGGGATCCGAAGATTTTCAATCTGTATGGCAAAATCTTTCTGGGCTTTCGGGCTTAACTTTTAGGCCCACTCTGCAACCATGGCCCCTTTGGGAAAGAAAAAATATATTTATTTAGTATGTCTTTATCACTATATGGCAATATTTAATTAGTCAGTGATATCATGTTATCAATGTGATTCTTTTAAGTTCTTTTTTTTCATCCAAGGTGTTCATCAATCCATTGCTTGGCTAAGTAAGGCCTTTTTTGTTTTTCGTTTTCTTTTTTTATCCTCTTGGGAATCAAACTATCATTTCACATTAAGTCATGTTTGACATGTGTTATGATATTGTTTTTTTATATAGGTAACTAAATTTGGGCCGATACATGTTTGGAATGACTGATATTAGTTTGGAATAATTCATAACATATCAGATTTTTTTATCCTAAATTCATATCACTAAATTAGTGATATTGTGTGCTTTGATATTGTAGCAAAAGAATTAAAGCAAATTTTTTAATTTCTCAAAACAAATTTTCGTTACCAAACATAGTTCTGATTTCTACCCAAAACACTCCTACAACAAAACCGTTATTTTGGTATTGACCAAAACCACATCATATGCCAAACAGGTCCTAAATATTGGTGTTATTAGGAATGAGTGAAAAAATAAAAATAAATAAATAAATAAATTTGAATAACTCCTATCAATATATAATTTAAGGCTTGAATATCTCCTTTAATGCTATTTTCTAACACAATTAACAATGTGATATTACAATGAATGGACTTGCGAAACAGTGTTTTATTAAACAACTCCAAATAATTAAAATCAATTTCTTGAGTTGAATTATTCAAGAATATGGTTTAACAAATGCTAAAACATAGCCTGCTTTTTTATTTTTTCCCTTTGCATTTGATGTTTTGTTTGGAGGGAGAGACAGGGATCCTTGAGAGGGCAAGGAGTGAGCATTAGATGGAAACAGAGCAGCAATAGATTGGACAATGCAATCATACATCATCCTTTTCACTAGCTTCCTTTTGGGTGGAACCAGACCACCTTCATGGCTCTGTCTCAGACTCCACCATTTTCTCACCTGACTCCACCTCCACCTCCACCTCCACCTCCATCTCTCTCTTGAATTCTCTCACTGCCCTTCTCAGTAAATAGAGGTAGGCCTGCCTTCTCAGTGTGTTCTCTCTCTATATATGGTCAGGCCGGCATGATGCAGTTTGAGACCTAGAGCGAAATCGTTAATTTAGCCCATCTCACATTCATTATATTAATGCTATACTAACAATTTATTTGAAAATTATTCTATTTGATAAAAAAAATAATTGGTTAAAATAAACGTGTATTGATCAATAGAAGCGCAATTGTATTTATTTGGCAATTAATAGCTACACAAAACATAATTAATACATTAAAAAGAAATACATAATAATATCACTTGTACAGGCTCTGCTTCCATTGGAGGCTTTAGCGTCATCTTAATTACCTTGCGGTTAAGTCAGTTTAGTATATAGTCTCAATTGGAAATGTGGAGTTGATAATATTATAAATATTAGTCCAACTTTGCTGATCCAACTTGGAGGGTATTATTATACTTTTTCAATTTTTACGTAGCCCTAATTGTATAACAATGCAGTTGACCAAGCGAAAGCAATTAAAACATTCACAAGAAACGAGACTATCTTAAATGCACAAGATAGGATACCTTGGATCCATAAAGAAAAGAAAATTCACAAAAGAATATAATATTTTATTGATAAAATTGTTTGATTCCTTCTTGTCTCAAAGTACATTGTATTTATAATAAATAAAATCCTAAAACTATAAAAGAAACTAATAACAAAAAAAAATAAACTAATTGCTTGAGTAAACTAAAAATATATAAAATAAAAAAAAAATTACTTAAAATTAAACTCTCCCTAAAATTATAAAAAAGAAAAATAAAATAATAAAAACTTAATTAAAATTGTCCTACTTCAGTAGTTGAGGGCAGTGGTATATATTCATTTTGCTATTCATAATAGTGAACATAACCCAAATTTGGAGTGAATTATTAATTTTCACAACAATTCTGTGTATATAAAATGGGCACTTCTTTTCCAGACAAAAGGGTGAGGAGGAATCTCTGAGCTGTGAAAAAAAAGGTAGAAACTTGGAGAAGAAGTATCATAAGCTGCATCCAGGGATGAAAAGGGTGGCATGGCAGAATGAGATTCGATTAAAATGCCATGTGGATTTGAATATGACCTTCTGTAAGTACTCCTTTGGATCTTTATGTGTCTTTTAGCATCCATCTTTGTCACTGCCTACCAATTCTATAGATACAAGTGCACTAGTATAGCTATAGCCAACTCAGAGCTGGCTTCTGTTGTGAGCTTGTAAATTGTGGGCCATCAGTGTCACCAGCCTGATATCCCACAAGGGATTGCATGACCTTAAATCCACTCTCTAATGCCCCCTTAAGACTACACTAGTGTCATCTATAACAACGTTATTCCTTTCGTCTCAAAATAATTTAAAAACTATTATTTATTGTTCTTAACA